ACCTAAAAGTGCCTAAATATAAAAGTGCTTTGTGAGTGGAAATAAACTCAATTCACACGTGATGACAGAGCATAAGTACAATACAATAAAATATGGTGAGAATTATACTATCGATGGTAATCGTCCACACCAAGATTTGCAAATAATCCTCGTCGGTACGAAAACTCTACTACTAGAACCTGGAGGGGCGAAAAACAAGTGTGAGTGAGCCTGAAAATAAAGTTTTAATAAAAACCTTTTGAAAACATTATAAACCCTCACCGTAAAACCTGTATAGTTTCCAGAAAATAATAATACTACATAAGTATAAAAACCAATACACAAGAACAGCGAAAACTGAACTATGCCATGTCATAATATCTCAACAATAATAAATGTCAGCCTGGTGTGAAACCAATATAAAATAGTATGTCAATCAGAGTCACCTAACATGACATGTATGACTGGACCTGTATCTCATCAATCTAGGCTAGCACACGAGTCGAAGTCATCTGGTGTGACCTGTACGACAGGCTAGGTATAAATATGTACGCTCAAGTGCTACGATCACGTGAAGGTTATGCGATAAGTCGCGGGTCACCTATGAGTCAGAACCACCTATTGTGGTATGTACGACAGGTTAGCACCAGACTTGGATCCAAGGTGAGCATGCGGTGCAGGAAGTGAACAATTACGTGTAGGCTGACCCTAGCCCTAAGCAGGAACACTAATACCAGGGTGCAGCCATGATGAGCTCTAAATGAATATATCATATATGCATGTCAATATGTTGCAATAATTCCAATCACAAAGTAAACTCACCTAAACTTACCTATGCATATCGTAGCATCGTTTGGCATTTCATGATTTCTTAACAATGCAACATTTTAAATATAACATTATTTAATCATATGCATAACTTAGTTCAAAGCATTTGTGGAAACTATAAAGTTTATATATATATATATATATATATATATATATATATATATAACATTATTTAATCATATGCATAACTTAGTTCAAAGCATTTGTGGAAACTATAAAGTTTATATATATATATATACACACATACATATACATATACCATAAAAAGGAAAAAGACCCACTCACTTGAGGTATGCGCTACAACTTCCTAGCATGAATATCGAGGCGTCACGAACGATTGTCGCCTAAAACAAATATTCAGTCACGTCTCATAATTATTATCAATAGAACCCGTAACTTACATAAAACATATCCCCAAGGACGTTCTAGAATGATTTGAGACCCATTGACTAAAAGTCAACCATCGGTCAAAGATCGACACATTAGCCCTGCTTTAGGGCCATCAACTTGGCTCAAATTTACACCTTTCCTTGGCAGGAAATTTCTTCGCTTTAAGTCTAAGGTGTTCGCCAAAGTGATCTTCTAAAATGTCGACAAAAATGCCCAAAACTTAGGAAAAGCTAACACATTTTTCGTGATTCAACGAGGTGGTAAGATTAGAAAATTAGGCTCAAGAACCTAGAATGCTTACATCACGCGTGTGATAAATGCAATACTGCCAAACTTATGCTCTGATACCAAATTGACACACCTCGACCCAGAATGTCCATTAAAACTCCAAATCAAGCTGTGCTAATAAATTTAAACCTAAAAGTGCCTAAATATACGAGTGCACTATGAGTGGGAATTAACCCAATTTACACATGATGACAGAGCATAAGTACAGTATAGTATAATAGAGTGAGAATTATATCATCGATGGTAATCGTTCACACCAAGATTTGCCAATAATCCTTGTCGGTACGAAAACTTTGCTACTAGAACCTTGAGGGGCGAAAAAACAAGGGTAAGTGGGCCTGAAAATAAAAGTTTTAATAAAACCTTTTGAAAACGTTAACCCTTCGCCGTAAAACCTGTACAGTTTCCAGAAAATAATAACACTACGTAAGTATAAAAACCAATGCATAAGAGCAATGAAAACTGAAGTATGCCATATCATAATATCTCAGCAATAATAAATATAAGTTAGGTCCAATTTGGCGATTTGAAGCACTTACCTTCAATCGCCAAGTCCAATTTGTTCCTGACCTCCAGATAAGTGTTTTGGTGGTGGTGATTGAAGGTAAGTGTTTCAGAAATGGATGGATCGCCGCCTAGTACCCACCAAGCCGTGTGTCGGCCTTCATGAAATTGGAACCAAAACTCTCTGCTTTTTGGGTTAAGATGGTGGATGGCAGGCCACTGAGTGATTTGAAGGTGATTGAGGGTAGTGATTCAATGAGAAAAATAGCATGATTTGCCCGGAATCAAATCGGGGTGCAAACGGGTTGGTCATGGGTGTGCACAAGTCGACGGGAAAGAGACTCCTTTCTTTCCCTTCCCGATTGGCTGCTTCTCTCTCATCTGATTGGTCATTACCCTTTAATCTGATTGGTCAGTCTTCCCACAAGGTGGGAGTTCAATTTATTTAATTGAACTTTAAATAACTAATTTCAAACGTCTGTAACTATATCATTATAATCCGGACTCGCAAACGGCTTTCACATATAAGTCCTACGTCTCTCTAACCTATGGTCAATGAAAGGTAAAATCTTTGCCTTAAGGGCATTTTCATAAAATCACTAATTTAAAATTTATAAAGCTTAGAATTAGGGACAGGTTGTCACACCAAAATTTTCAAATTTCAACCCCAAAATCCAAAAGCTCAAAACCGAAAATGCAATACAGATCCATCCCGAAATACTGAAAATTGGGAATACCTAAATTTCGATTTGTAATTGGTTTTCAAATTCCTGTCTCAAAAATTTTCGAGATCCCATTTTCGATTTGGGATCCCATACCGAACCAACCTCATGTACCACCCACTAATTTATAAACAACTTTCATCTTTTCGTACATCCTTTGGAAGAAGACTTTATTAACTTAAGGTTTTTTTAGCCGAATTAGTCTTTAAAATTGACATAACTCTTTATGTTGATTTTTGAGATTTGAACTCAAAAGAGGTGGCCCATGAGTTTATCAACTATAAATTATTTTGGTTATTCTGTGAAAAATATTTATTAAATAAGGATAAAATAACAAAAATACTCTCAATTTTTGTCAAATCATCTGGCCATTGGTTGTTAAATTGAGGATTTCTTTTTTATCATCATTTTGGTCTTCGTTTAATAATTGTTTTTTATGAAATGACCAATGATAGATGGTAGACAAACTCAATGACCATTTGGCTAAAATGCCTTACTTTAAATTGTAATTGGGGAATTGCAACTTAGCGCAACTGTCTATTGTTATTCTTTTTCGTTCGTAAGCGCAAAGTATTAGGTCCAATTCTAGTCAAAAGTGTGTCCAAACCAAATTGTTATAACTGACCTGTTGTGTGGTTTATCTCAAATCCATCTATTTATATTGTTTTATTATAAAACTACAATTGATGGGCATCTGCCTTCACATTCTTTATAAAAATGGTACTGTATTTCATATTTATATATTTAGAACACCACATAACCTGCAAAGAAAATAAAGTAAGTATTGAAAGACACTAGTGTGGTACTGACTTAAGGTATTGTTTGGTACGTGGAATGAGACGGAATGCAGTGGGATGAGACGCACTCGTCCCATGTTTGGTGCGCCAATTTGTCTGGGACGCGATGTCCCGTGAAACATATTTTAATCAATTTTTTGTGTCACCCTCCCCCTGGAACAACTTGTTCCAACCCATAGAACACAAAATTATAACTTTTTGGATAACAATACCCCTTATCTTTTTCATTAATTTCACTATCTACCCTTTCTTCCGTAGCCTCCCTATCTCCTACCCTCCCTCTCTCATAGCCTCCTCCTCCTCCTCAACCACAAACCCAGCAACCTAGGCTAACCCAATAAACCCATATGAACCCAACTCCACCTTCCTCTCGCTGCCTCCCTCCTCCCTACTAGTCCCACGACGAGATCGTCGACGTCTACCGCAAAAACATCAAGACCACCCACTCGCAAGACGTGGCCGACGCCATCGCTCGAGGGATATGATGGTGATGATTAGGTGGAAGATGTGAGGGATGATGTTGAACTCATTGGTAGTGGCTCAGATAAGGTTGAACTCGTCAAAGTAGATAGGTACGATTGTCATTTAATCCGTCATTCCATTCCGACCTGTGCGTACACCAAATGTAGCATGGAATCTCCGTTTCGTTCCGTCCTGTATGCGTAACAAACGGTACCTAATGTCACCGATGCTTAAGATATCAAAGTGTGCTTAGGGCACCGCGTTGAAAGCTTTTAGTGGTAATATAATAATGGAAACTTTAACAAAAAACTTCCGGTACTGATCACTTTAATGAAAAACCATATTTTTACACTAAAAAGTCAATCTTGGTACTATTCACTTTACCATTTATTTTGTTCTTATCATTAAAACTCAAAATTTCAAGCTTTTTTTAATTAGTTTTTCTTATGATATAACGTTGAACATTAATTACCGGTAAGCTTTAAAAAGGAGTAGAAACTATCTTTTATAGAGGCAAAGTTGGAGGAACTTTATTGAGTAGAGATTCCATATAAAATTTTGATTTAATTCATTCGAAATCTCATGAGATTAGGTGAAATTTGTGAATGCTTAAAATGCATTACGAAATCTCTCCAATCCCCTTGAATTCCTCAACTTTTTCAAATTCTTTAAAATCAATTTCTAATTGAATACACGTTGAATTCCAAAGAATCACTTAAATTCTAATTGAATATTCATAAATTTATTAAAAGAATTAAAAAAATTCAAAATTCTATTTGAATACACCCTTAAAGTTGTATCAGATGAGTTTTGGACCGTAGCGGAGAAGAATCGATTGCGTGAACATGTTACATACTTGCAAGGCTTGATACCCAAGTGGGGCCCGGAACTTCTCAAACGGATAATGCTCAACCTTGTGGCCCACTCCTTGCCCCTAATCGCGCGCTTCACCTACGACACACCTGCCTCAGGAGCCAACCCCGCGAAATACACCCACACGTGGCGCCCATCTGTTGGTTCGGGTTTTGGTTCGGTAGTACGCCACCTCGCACTATATGCCAGCCTCCGTCACTCTCTGATTAGCTCTCTCTCGAAAGCACTGAAACAGAGACCTTTTGGAGTTGTTCATCTCTCCTTTTTCTGGAAAATCAAACTGCGAAATCATGATCGGATCAAGCCTTCAAGGTACGAGTGGAGAAACACTTTTCTCTGTTAACCCTCCTGATTTTGTTTTGGTTATGGGCTGTTTGTTTCTCTGGAAATTTTTCATTTCCCTAGGAAAAAAGTGATTTTTTTCTCTGCTGTAAGCCTTCCCTCGCTTCATCAACCAAGATACGAGTTTTTTTAAGGAAAATATTTATTTTTCACTCCATTATTTCGTTATCGATGATGGGTTCTGTTTGTTTCCTCAGAAAATTCAGAAAAAATGAAGTATAAAAATGCAGAAAGTTCAAAATTGTAGTTCTTTTTGTAGTTGGTCTCTGTGTGCTGATCGAATACGTGAAACTAGTCGAAAATAAGGGAAGACGAAAAGGAAATTCTTTAATGCCGATCAATATGTGACCCAAAGTTCTTTCCTTTATGACAGTTAGTTAAAAAACTCGAGCATGAATTACAAGTTTTAGTGCACCTTGGTTTACAAATGGACACACGAATTAATCGTCTTTTGCAAGTGTGCGTAAACTGGTGCCCCTTGGACGCCGAATGCAGTAAAACTTGTCGTACATATGTTAATGCTCTGCTTTAATTATTGGTTTGTTAGTGACTAGTCTTTGTAAACTGGGTGTTAACTGCAAGTAACCAGAAAATCTGGGCTCAGTAATTATGTTCCTAAGTGTTTGCGGGGGTGTTTATTCTTTTGTTTACTGCATTAGTACTTGTATAGTACACATTCTTTGCCGTGGTTGATTCTTTTGTTGTCTATTTTTAGCTGCAATGCTGTTTAGTTTCGGTTTTTCCTGTTCATCATTCCATGTTGATGTTTGCAAGAAAGTTTGAGGAGAATATGGCTTTTGTTTATAAACTGAGTACTAGAAAGTTTCACACTACCCCACATAGTTTGCAAAAGGAATCAGGACAATCCTTTTCCTTTCTCTTTGTATTTTTGGGTTGGGAGACACGGGAGGATGTTATGGACAATATAAAGGCTTAGTTGGGATGAACTTTTGATATTTCCACATCTGGACCTTTCTTTATGCATCAACACTGTATTGTAGATTTAGTTTTTTCTGTTCTAGCACAAATAAGCACCAGTTTGAGTTTGCTCACTTTGGTGCATAAAAGCTGTATTTCGTACTCTTATGCCGCTAGAATTTGGACCAACTGCCTTTTTATATGTTGTAATGTTCATTAAATAAATTGATGAGTTGTGCTTGAAGGCATTTTTTGCAAGGTCAATTGATTACCATATTGAGTACTTGCCCTCTACTTTTACAGGTTTATAATGAAGGCTTCCAGTTTGGCTATTGAAGGGATAAATAACGCTCTGATTCAGTTTTTATAAGATATATTGGTTACAAGGTATTTTCTTAATGGGGGGAGCTTGTTCTAGGAAGAGAGACCACCAAGACGATGTTGACGATTTTCAGAGAGGGTTTTCTAGAAGATATTCTAAAAGTGGGAGTTCAAAGTGGTTGGCAACCTCCTTCACCCGCCCTGTTATGGATATTCAACCAGACACAAGGAACGGTCCTTCTCTCATGGACTCTAAGAAAAGACTTAGAGTACTTGGATCTAACGGAGGGCATGACACAAAACCGAGCGCAATGGCGTTCTAGGATTCATATAGCCGACCCCACTTAGTGGGAAAAGGCTTTGTTGTTGTTGTTGTTGTTGGGACTGAGGTTCACTATATTTTGGCTTATTGCAATTGTTGCTTTGATTTACAGGACATCAATAAATTTAACACATTCTCCATGCTCCCAAGAGATATTAGTCAACAGATCATTAATGAGTTGGTGTACTCCGGATGCCTCACTGATGTTTCTTTTGAAGGTTTTCGTGATTGTGCTTTGCAGGTAACTCTTTTTTGTAGTGCTGGCAATCACATTTCTAATTCTTTATTTAAAAAAAATTGACAGTGTCATCCTGTTCATCTTTGTTGTCAGTGTCGTGCTGACCTTGAAAGTTTCTTTCATTTTTTTTTTTTTTTGGAAGGATCTTTACTTGGGGGAATGTCCTGGTGTAAATGATAGTTGGATGGATGTCATCTCCTCACAAGGGTCATCTTTACTCTCTTTGGATCTCTCTGGTTCTGACGTTACTGACAATGGGTTAATTTATCTTCAAGATTGCAAAAGTCTCCAAGCATTAAATTTTAATGATTGTGACCACATATCAGACCATGGCCTGGAACGCATCAGTGGTAGTCCATCTTAATCTTTATTTTTGTTTCTTTGATAGCTTTCCTCTCTAGTATTAAATCAATTTGCAATATAGTCAGTTTATATTTCTTTCTGCTGAAGCGCAATTCCCAAAGCCATTTTGGATAAAAGATGAAGCATATCTGCACAAAATTTTGTTACCCATTGTAGCCTGCCAAAATAGCTGTTGGAATAGCACATCCCTTTTATAATCAGCTAAAACTATTCAGTAAGCTCAGTGTTAAATAAAAAATTTTGAGAAGCAAGAGAAAAATGAGGTATGATTGGGGAGGGATGGCATGTCATCTGATACTTCTTTGTGATAAATAACCTGTGTAGTATACATAGTTGGAGTTTGTACCATGTCTGCAATTATTTTGTACAAGACTGAATTGTTTTCCACACTTACAAAGCATTCATTATTGGTTCAACACTGTTACTGTTACACTTATTCTTCCTATTCTTTTTTGTTAACCCTTTTATGCTCAACATTGTTGTATTTCCTTCTTACTGCACCTGCAAATGAAATATTTATGAGAGTTGGTTGCCATCATTGAGGATCTAGGAAAGGGGAGGAAAGCTAAAGCTTTGTGGGGTTGTTTGGTGTTGGCAGGTTTCTGGAACATTTGGTTGGGGCGTAATCAAGAGTTTTTGAGGATTATAAGGGAGTGGGGGTAGAAGAACTATGGTTAGAGTAAGATACTGGGCAGACCTTTGGGCATCAGTTTCGAATGAGTTTAGGGAATAATCTCTTTTTCATAACTGAGGGATGTGTTAGCAGCCATAAAATGAATTTGGTTCAGCTTTAGTTACTTGTAAATAGATCTACTTGAGAGGTCTTAGCTAGTTTTGCTAGATGGTGGATTTCTTATCCACCTTTTTGTAATTCATGTTACTGTTTTAATATAACTTTATCGTTTGGTTCTGCATATGATTTTGTTAGATTCTTTCAGGTCTGTCCAGCTTGACAAATTTGAGTTTTAGAAGAAACAGTGCAATTACTGCTCATGGAATAAGTGCGTTTGCTAGTTTGATTAACTTGATGAAGTTGGACTTGGAGAAATGCCCTGGGATTCATGGTGGACTTGTTCATCTACAAGGTAAACGCCTCTAAATGAAGTCATCTGGAAAGTGTTATTTTCTTTGTTGAAAGTGCTGGTAGAAAGTACAACCATGTCCGAAGGATTGTACTATGTATTATGTAAAGGAGAATAGTTTTCTTATGTTCTTGAACATGATGAGAAAACATTCTCAAGGGAAGCGTGCATTCTTTATTCTACAACACAGTTGGAGGTGGTGCTATTATCGTCTATACAGTTTAGTACCTCTCTATAATATACGTGAATTGTTACGGTATATGAGTCGGGCATCCGTTTGAAGTGATAATGTCATTAGCTTACACTCAACTAATGTACGTACAAAAATACTGTAAATGATATGTGGCCCAATAAATGAAACACTTGCGCAATATGACAACAATCTACTCGAGGGTGGACTTGTATGAGTACAATGATATAATGGTAGGCCAAAGGTCTTCAAACCTCTAGTATGAGATGTCTGATAGTGATTATTCACCATAATATGATCCCCTCGGAGGTAAGCCAAAATCTATTAAGTTCTGGGACCCGGTGGTAGAGAAGGTGGAATTGAGACTTCAGGGTTGGAAGAAAGCTTTTTTATCTAGAGGCGGAAGATTAACATTGATCCAAGCTGTCCTAGGATCCCTGCCCATATACTACATGTCCCTGTTCAAAGCCCCACGCGGGGTCATTGGGAGACTGGAAAAGCTAATGAAAGGGTTCCTTTGGGAAGGGGTTGAGGAAGGAAAGAAGTTTCACTTGGTCAAGTGGGAGAAAGTGTGTAAAAGCAAGGAGGAAGGTGGCCTTGGTCTGGGAAATTTGAGAAATCGAAATGCCGCCTTATTAGCCAAGTGGCTGTGGAGATTCCCGCGCGAATCAAACTCTCTTTGGCATAGGGTGATAAAGAGCAAGTACAGTCTGGTGGCAAATGGTTGGGATGCTAATTGTCCGAGTCGAGGCTCGAGCAGGTGTCCCTGGACTGACATCTCGGCTGGTTACCCTCCCTTTCTTCACTCATGCAAATTCGTGGTTGGTAACGGAGAGAGGCTGAGATTCTTGGAGGATGGTTGGTTGGAGGGCGGTCCGTTGAAGGAGCAATTCCCTAGAATATTTTCTTTATCAAGGACAAAAAAAACCAAAGTATTTCCAATTTTGATAGCTTCTTCTTTACAGCCGGTCAGCTGGAATTTAGAGTTTAGGAGAAACCTAAGAGAGTCGGAGATTGAAGAGGTGGCTGGTTTACTGCAGAAGGTGGAGTCCGTACGGCTGTGCCATTCTAGAGAAGACAGGAGAAGATGGAATTTAGAAGGTTCTGGCCAGTTTCACTTGCAAATCTTTATAACTCTTTCCTTTGCAACAATGATGTTATGCATCAATTTCCCCCTTTCGCTCAGATATGGAAAGCAAAAGTGCCTCCAAAAGTCAAAATCCTTGTGTGGCTAGTGGCGCTCGGGAAGGTTAATACTTGTGATCAAATCTAAAGACGAATGCCTTTTGCTTGCTTCTCCCCCCATTGGTGCACTTTGTGCAAATATGGGGAGGAAAGCGTCAACCATATTTTCCTCCATTGTCCGTATAACATTCAACTCTGGTGGAAATTGCTTAAGGAAGCCGGAGCAAGATGGGTCACCCCAAAGGGATGTTTTGAGCTTCTAAGCATTAAGTTCGAAGGCCTAGGGAAAGGGAGGAAAGCCAAAACTTTGTGGGGATCTCTGTTGATGGCCCTCTTCTGGAACATTTGGTTGGAGCGTAATAAAAGAGTCTTTGAGGATTACAAGGGAGTGGGGGTGGAGGACCTTTGGGATAGAGTAAAACACTGGGCAGCCCTTTGGGCTTCGGTTTCAGTGGAGTTTAGAGATTACAATTTCTCTTCTATTTTTAGGGATTTGTTAGCAGCCGTTATTTGATTTGGTCTAGCTTTTCCTCTGTTCAATTAGTTTTCTTTAGGGGTCCTTGCTAGTTCTCTTCTAGCTCCAGGTGGATATCTTTTCCACGTGGTTTATTTTTTCTTTTTTGTAATTCTTTCGTTTTATAAAATTCTTTCGTTTTTTTTTATAAAATTCTTTCGTTTCTTTTCAAAAAAAAAAAAACCATAATATGATCCATGATGTCTCCTGTGATGCACGTTGGAAATGAACCATGTACTAAATTATGGATAATGCTTTCATCTCAGCATGCCACCATTCTTATCACTTTGAATTCATTATTATCCTAATACATTTCATTTAAATCTTTGTACAGGCTTAACAAAACTAGAGTCTCTTAATATCAAATGGTGCAACTCTATAGACGATGCTGACATGAAACCTCTCTCAGGTAATATACATAATGGTTTTCTTCTTGTTTACAGTGAAAAGGAAATGTAGGTTTTAATCTAATATTTTTGGGGTTTGACTTCTATTGAAATGATTCTCTGATATGACTTCTTAGCTTCACCCCTGGACACAGATGACAGACTTCGATACCAATCCCTTTCCATTTCCCTCTTCTCTCTCTCCCCCAAAAATGTGTTGCTTATGTCTAAAATAGTTGCATATTGTATTAAGAATTTGTGCCAATCTTGATCCGTCTTTGTCGATAATTTCTTCCCCCACAAGCTGTTCAAGTTCAGTTCCACATCTTCATTCCATCTGCAAAATGTGGAAATAGACAGAGCATAACCAAAGTACCAATTCGAAGCAACTTTGACTGGAAGTCAGTCTATTATATTTACATTTGGCAAATCAAGTGCATCCATGCCAAATTAGATGCAGAGATCTATCTTTTCACATGATTTTTTTTTAATCCCAGTCTTCAAGAAGAGCGCATTTTAAAATTTAAATACATGTTTGTGTGTGCTTTGGTTTTTAATGTGAATTAAATTTCTGTTACAGCACATTGTGTGAATCACTTTTTCATTTGTATTTCAGGGCTTACAAATTTGAAATGCTTACAAATCTGCTGCAGTAAGGTTACTGATTTTGGCATTACTTACTTGAAAGGTATATGCTTTTGTATTTCATTTATCTACAACTTACATCTTTGTGCTGCAAGGAGAATCATGTGTAATAAGTTTTTATCTATGGATCTTTTATAGTTTGAAACTATTGTGATTGTGCAGCGTACTCCTTAGGACTTATCTACTTGCACCCATTTTTTAAAACTTAATACCTTTTAGTATTTTATTGATATGGGATGCCAGTATTTTGTCTCTGTTAATAAAAAACTTATTCTAGTCTACTTAACCAGACATGAATGTTGTTAGGCGTAAGTTTATTGCTGTTCCTCCATGTAACTGTTTATATCATCTATGTCTTACAGGTCTGCACAATCTTTCTCTTTTGAACTTGGAGGGATGCCCAGTTACTGCCGCATGCTTGGACTCACTTGCAGGTTTGTATGCTGAAGTAATTAGACTTTTTCTTAGCCATTCTAATATTGTTCTGGTCGTTGTATGCCATGCAATCCTTTTCTCATTGATAAGGTTGATAAATTACTATCAATTGATTGTCCACATACATCTTTGTATTAAATATGTCATTACTTCGTATTTGACAATATCTATGTGATTGTATTATGTGTATAATCATTTCTATTATGTCTAGTGATGGTTTACTTTTTGGAAATGCTAATAGAACAAAGAATTAGTTTGGAATTAGTATGTGTCTGAATCTGAGCCTGAATAGCCAAATTAAATATTAAACTCTTTGAAAAGCTTTCTGCTTGCATATTAAAATGTTTCTTGTTCCATAAAGATAGTGTGTGATGAAAATGCACCATTATGCACAGAAAAGATTGGGAATCTGATTTTGGTTAGGTCTTGAACAATAACTGATGACTTATGGAGTAGCATAGCCGAAAGTTATACGTGTCATCTACTAAAGCTGAATGTGAAGACTTTTGCCATTTTTTTTCCACTGCCTAAGTGCGTACTTTATCTTTTGTTCTAGCTTTAATTGGGCCTGATATTTATCTGGGTTGCTTGCTTACCAGCTCTTGATGGCCTGCTATATCTAAATCTGAGCAGATGTGATCTGACTGATGAAGGATGTGAGAAGTTCTCCCGTAAGTAGTTTTTAAACTGACCCCAATGACTTTTTTTTCCTTTTCTGTTGAAGTCATGGAATACAGCTCTACCTAGAGGCTGGCTTCGTTCTACTTTTATTTTTTGTTAGGGGAGCCCTGAGCTTGGATTGTGGCTTACCTCATACTCTGCAGGATTTGAGAACTTAAAAGTATTAAACTTGGGCTTCAATGACATCACCGATGCTTTTCTGGTGCACTTGAAAGGTGGGTTTTTTTTTTTAACTCTTGCATTTGTTTGCGTTCAAACCTTTGGTTTTTGGACTTTCTTTAGGCATTTACTTTTTCATCAATAGTAGAGAAAGTTTAGTAATAGAGAAAGCCCTTCTATATGAATTAGAAATATATGCTCTGATGGAACCTATACCGTGCAATTTCTTAATTCATTGAGCGAGTTGGTGGTTGGTTCTTCATTTTTATATTGACTACAATATCAGATCCCATAATTTCCCTTGTGTAATATATGCATATCTTTAAATTGTGGTTTTGGCCTTGCTGCAAGTAGGTTTGACAAATTTGGAGAGTTTGAACCTGGATTCATGTAAGATTGGTGATGAAGGGCTGGTTAACTTGACAGGTCAGTGTTACAAACATGCATGATACTTATAATTTATGCCCTTAACCTGGAATCTTTCCAGAATGTTTGTCTTGCATATTATATTTGCGGAAATGATGAGAGTTACCATACACAGTTGTATTTGTCGTCTTTTTTCCTCTGTAACTTACCTTCCATTTGTGTTTTGTATCAAGTCTTATGGCATACATCCATCATAAAGGAATTCATATATTTCTGGTAAACAAAGTTGCCAAAGACCCATCGTAGAGGAATTTGAGTAAAAGCTAAGGGTAAGGGCCTGGTACCCTACTTAAAAATTGATTCCAAAAACTGTGATTTTTATAAAAACTCGGGTTGAGCTCCAGTTTTTAATTTCAAAAAGATGTTTGGTAAGAAATTTTATCAGTATTTTTTAATCTTAAAAGTTTTATCCACACCCTTTGTCCCTCACAGTAACCACTACATCTTCCCTTCATGTCCTCCCAGTCTCCCAGTCTCCCAGTCATCCTCGGATCATGACTTCACAGAGAAAAGCTTCACCTCCTCATAATCTATCGAATCTGAAAGGGAAGCCAACTTTAATTGACTCCGGCGAGCCAGTTTCACCCAATTTTTACCCAAAATCTTCAAATTGGTACTACCATTCTCAGTAACCAAGACTTCAGGATTAGAAGCTTCGAAAACTTCATCGAATTGGATTGGGACCTGGCCGGTCTTCCGGACTTGACAGATCAGATAATGCGGGCTTGCTCGGACGTCGTCGTGTTGGAGTGATTACACCGATGGCGATGACACTGGGCAGCCATGCAAATAGCCACGCGGGACTCGGTTAAGTGACGCATGGGATCCAGAGAGATGCGGCGGCGGCGGCTAAATGAACGGAGTGGGCGTTGGTGTTGATGTCGGATGTACATTAGAGTAACCCTGGTTGAAGAGTCTATTGAAGACAAAGACATACAAAAACTCTCAACACATAAAAAGTCTCTTCTCAAGAATCAAGTATTGTTTTTTAGTTGTGGATTTGAAAATTTGCTTGCCAAACGCAACTTTAGAAAAAAGTGTTTTTGATTCTAAAAAACTGAATCCAAAATGAATACCAGACAGACCCTAAAAGTCTTTTAGTGACATTCTTCCTAGTGAATTCTAGGGTTTGCTAGTTGTTTTCTAGCGAAGGAATATCATTTGATTTTGTTATATCCTGCTGCTCAGAACCTTTTAAAGATTTATGTGAATTTCAAAAGTGATCCCACTCGTGCAGTTCTTAGAAAAATTGATGTATCTATTGTGGTTTTCTTTCTTTTAGAAGCCTTTATAAATAAAATTATCATTTTAATAGTGGCTGCTGAATCTACTGTCAATTAAAATTTTCAACAATATCAATCACTGATTTTTTATTATAACCCATTTTCATGACAGTTGGAAGGATCAGTTTTTCTTATGTGTGAAATCGTGTAATTTTTATGAGTCTTGTGGTTTTTGCTTATATTGTATCTTGGTGGCATGACTTGCAGAGTTGTAATATTTGGGTTCGGAATCATGCTGACAATTTTAAATATGTCAATATGCTGATTTTGAGTAGCTTTATCATTCTTTAGCCATGCTTATGAAATTAAGCATAAAAATCTTCAGATGGTACCCCTTTCCTATTCCTCCATAGAATCTGATGAATGCTGGTTTACATGCTTTTAGGCCTTCAACATTTGAAAAGTTTGGAGTTATCAGATACTGTTGTTGGAAGCGGTGGGCTTCGCCATCTGTCAGGTTGTACATTTACCTTTCTCTTTTGGCTTGCAACCATACAGAATTTCATTAACTTTTTGCCGCATCAACCCACTTGCTCACCCAATCAAAGACACAGGCAGAGAGTTTGTAACAGAGAGTTGTGTATTTTTAGTTGTACTTGGTTTATCCATTTTTTTTTAATAAATCGTCTTACATCTAGTTTGGTCATCAAGTGAACATGGTTGTACCTTTGGTAACTTAACTATGCTTTGTACTGTTAAGTTTTTGTTGGCTTATTAGTTAGTACTGTTTTGGTGTTTCCAAAAGCTTAAGATATGAAGAATTGAAGATGTCCGACAATTAGGAATTTTTAGGTTTCAGTCTTCAGTCATAAGATTAGTAATTTAGTAGTACTGTGCGTTTTTCTAATCATCGAGGGTCCCTAGACAAAGTAACAATGAATTAACAAAAGTTCCATCCTATTACCAATGACTACTGCTGCACCATAAGTTCTCTCATTTTATTATTTCTTAGGAATACCATGATTGTGAATCTATATGTCGGGGCTAGAAATGCCAATCTGGTTGTAATAGAGGCTTTTGCCTCTAAACTTTGTGGTTTATTTACCTACAATATACACACACGTCCGTTTTGCATAAATTTTAATTTTGAAAGCAATGAATTTATTTGTGTCCGAATAAATTTGAACTAATACTCAAATGTGATGACACAACATAATTCATTTTTTCAGTGATTGTATTTGTCTAGATGCATTATCCTCACTTTATTTAATAGATATTTTAAAAAATTCATCATCATTTTTCTTTTATATATATCTCCTATGAATGCCTTACAAACAGAAAAGTTTTGTAGAAAACAGATTTGTAGAATGAAAGTTTTGGTATTCTAAATTTTGAGAAAAATTTAAACTGAAAAAGAAAAAAGTTAGGTAACATCTGTCTCTTTCTTTGGTTTTGAGTAAGTGAATACAATTTAATTTTATAGAAACATTATGATGCCATTAATATATACAGTAAAAGAGTGCATAAGTGTTGGCCCATAGGGTAAAAGAGTGCAAAACTGTGCATGATTAATGTTCATTTTTTCCGTATATGGCCATTGAGTTTTTTCTTCTTAAATACGCACTTTAATCAAAGAAAGGTGTTTTCTATTGATCTTTAACCCTAGAAAGGAATGGTATGCAAATTTGGTAATTCTATGAATAAATGGGTGGCCATCTCTGATGCCACCATACAGGAGATGAAAATACTGAAGGATCCACGTCTGTTCTTACTTCTTATTGCCAAAATGGAATTTTTTATCAGCTTTAATTTTTTGGTTTTGTTATTCCGTAACCTGACTATTGTTTTCTTGTAGGTTTGATTAATCTTGAAAGTATAAATCTTTCCTTCACTGCTGTTACCGACAGTGGTTTAAGAAAGCTGTCTGGTCTCTTGTCTCTCAAATCCCTTAATTTGGACACTCGCCAAATTACAGATTCTGGACTGGCAGTGCTTACAAGTAAGCATGGTTAGATGAAACTGCATTATGATATTTTGGCCTCCCGACGAAATTTTCAAGTCTTGTCCAACATTACCTAGTAAGCCATCTGATTCTATGAATACTGCATGTATTTTCCTTTTGGATGCAGGCTTGACTGGATTGACACACCTGGATCTATTTGGAGCTCGAATTACAGACTCTGGAACAACCTATCTGCGAAGTATGTTAACTACTTAACACTGTGCTGGTTCATTTACATAAATTAGATCACATGTGATGTGAGTTATTGATGATAACCGAAACACACACCAACCACTTCTTGGTGCAGTTCTGGATCTGTTGATTCAAAATTAACTTATTGTAATGTTATCAACAGTTTATATGCAAGCTGGAAAGCCTGTTGTGATGCAGGGTAGTTTAGATTTAGGTGAATCACAATAACCTGACCAAGCCTTCACATCGAGCTCACATTTAATTAAAGTTTTGCATCACTTATTCAGAATATGGCATCAGTCATGTAGATCTCGAGGTTCTTTTTATTTCAAGTATCGCTTGAACTTAGAGAGTAAGACTAGATCCCAAAATACACAAAAGCCATTATTCTCACAAGCCTAAAGCTAACTAGCCAATTGATGGGACCAGAGTGATGAACTTTCCATATCGTCTTGGGAACCGTGATATTGATGATGTTACCCTTATATTCCAGGGTGACGAGTTACCGTAGTTTACTTTCTCATTGTATCTGGAAGTTGTTTTGGTCGAAGTAGCAGGCTTAACATTGCACCCTAGAGTTGGGTAACTGACCTTATTTTATTTTTTGGAATGTTAAAATTTAGATGAGATATACTATTGAATATAATTATAGAGATAACTTAGAGTTCTATGTTGTTGGGGGGCAAGATAGTTGCATATGTCAGATAAAGTATTTAACTAACATGCTAAATTCTATTGATAATACTTGCAGAACGTGGAAACAATATTGCCTGGTCTATTAAATATTAATCTTAGAGGCTGGTGGTCATAGTGGAGAGGATTGAGTTCCGAAAACAGTTTGGAGTTTGGTTTTTTACATTGTATCTTCAATTTGCAGGCTTTAAAGATCTGAAGTCCCTAGAAATATGTGGTGGAGGACTGACGGATGTTGGAATAAAGAATATTAAAGATCTTTCATCCTTGACCCTATTGAATCTATCACAGAACTGCAACCTGACCGATAAAACCTTGGAGTTGATTTCTGGTATGCTTTCAAACTTTGGTTTATAAAATGATACATATGCTAGCTTTACCTGTTTTATGGACTATTAAATGGTGGCATGCCGGTGTTTGAGATTGGACCATTTTAGCGAGTCAAACTTTTCAAGCGCTGAGGATATAAATGTATACCCATTGTCGACAATGTTGGTTAGCATGTGGTCAAAATTCTATTTTCATTTGGTGACCGTCTGTCGTCTTGAGATATAGAGTATTGAATAGCTGACTTTTCAATCTTCGTAGCTACTGGGAATGTCCTTTTGTTTTGCAATTATGACCATGACAATTGCATGATCCCATTCTTTTTCAACCCTGACGTGCGTTGATGGCCATGAGAAAGGGAGAGAGGGTTGGTTGGAGTGCCTTCCAAGTATTAGCAAGGCATACCTGGTTGTTTGTTTAGGAAAAATTGAGGCATGTTATAGTTTCTCTGCCTAAGTTTTAAAGTTGGCAGTACCAGAGAGCATATCAAAACGACTCTGAGAGTGCTCGTATCCGTACACCCTTGGTTCAGTATTGATTCTGTGAAGCAATGGGACACTTCAATTTTAATTATGTTGGTTAACGTCATTATTATCTTTTAATTGTCACACTTTTCTATGGGGAATGCAGGGTTGACAGGATTGATCTCTTTAAACGTATCAAATTCTCGTATCACAAATTCTGGACTTAAGCATTTGAAAATGCTGAAGAATTTGAAATCTCTGACATTGGAGTCCTGCAAGGTAACAGCAAACGAAATAAGGAAGCTTCAGATGACTGACCTTCCAAACCTGGTAAACTTCCGCCCTGGAGGTAAATGAAATTCGTAACATTTAAGCTTCTGGCAGCATGGACAGACAACTGTGTATATAAAAACACTATGGAAAGAAGACATCTGGTACTTGTGTATATGGTTGGACGTGGATGTGGTTTTCCAAATGTCTATAGAACTACGGATTCAGAAAATAATTTGCTCCGTTTTCATGTGAAGCTTTCTTCTGTCATCGAATTCTCATGGAAGATAGTGTGGATAAAGCTTTCCTCCAATGTCTATTTTGTCGAGTCCCATCCTACGTTTTTAGTGTAGAAGGCGATCATTTGTTAAGACAGACTTGTTTATTTATAAATATTTATAGGGAACTTTAACGAAAAGCTCTCGGTACTGTTTACTTTAACGAAAAATCACATTTTTACACTAAAAAGTCAATCCTGGTACTTTTCATTTTACCTTTTATTTTGTCCTTATCGTTAAAACTCAAAGTTTTCAAGCTATTTTAATTAGTTTTCCTATATTTTTATAACCAAGGTGATATTGCGGGATGGCTGATTCGAAATTGGGATCTCGGATTGTAGGGGAATGTGTTGAACCCACTGAGCTACACGCCGCTTGTACATTCATTTTATAATCCTTTACATTGTAACCATGATTTTGGATAGGATAATGCTATCCACACATCCATTTTTATTTCTCACGTCCCTCTCAATTTTTGGCTGTCGGATCAAATAATTTGAAGAAGATCAATTGCCACAAATTAATAAGGGTGTGTGGGAGGTAAAAATGGCTGTGTGATGATGGATTAGGCGAGCTGAATTATATGAGTTCATCGAATATTTGTAGTCCTACTCTTCCTGAAATGCAGGTTGAAAGAACCGTACTCCTCGGAATTTAGCCATCGGACTGCTTGCCTAGCCTTAATTGGGTATTCCTCGCTACACGTTTCATTGTTTTAAGTCACCTTTCTCGACAATTTATTCCTTCTGGTAAAATAGACAGATACGATCGTGGTTGGTAAAATAAATGAGGCATAATATTTATGTGGTTCGGCAAGTATGCCTATGTCCTTGAGGTTGCAGCAGTATTTTGTCTCTCTATTTCTCTCCTACGTACTTACTGCTCGACTCTCTGGTGCTTAGAAGCAACTGGCGTGGTATGGCATGTTACTATTGGAACAAGTCCAAGCAACTCTTAGAGATTTTGCAGTTTTATGACTTGCTGGAGAATCTTGGTCAACCCTAATTTGCTCGTCGGTGTTTTCTTGCGATCCAAGTACTTTCCTAACTCGAATCTTTTTCAGGTCAAGCTTGGCGATGTTCCATGTCTATTATCTGACGGAGTTTGCTTTGGGGATGCTTGCCGGATGGCGTACTGTGAAGTACAGATTACAGCTCTGGAGAAGCATACAGCTACCATTGGCTTTTGATAGCTAGAGCTCTTTGGCAACTAGAAATGCAAGTTTGTGAGGAGCTGCTGCTGGTGCTCTAATGGTTCTCCAAGAGCTCAACTTCAGGCCGAGCTTCGGCAGAGATACGCCAGTTTCATTACCTTGTAATAGGTTTTTCTTCGAATCAAGGCCGAACCCATAAACATAATAACAGGGCGAGTTTTGTGGCGCGCGAGGTTTTGCGAGTGTGATGAACTTTTGAACTGATGGGTTCCATAGAAAGAATGTGTTGGTTTCTGTAAGGTAATCATCTGAGAAGAGAAGTAATCCGTTGCACGAGCCCACAATTCGGAAACACTCGTTGAAGCTCTGAACTGGAAGGAGACATACTCAAAATGCAGAGAACAGCACTCGACTGTGGGGGTCCTTGGTGACAATCTCATCGTTGTTGTCCCGTTGGCGCCATATTTCCTCGGGCTACACTATTTCTTGTTGCCTGCACCCCCATCAGTTTCATCGGTGCTGCGGCTCTGAGCTCCCTCCTGCCGATGACTCACTCTTTCAAACTCCTGTTTGTAGAGCTTGTTGTACAAGCTTTTCTTTAATTCGAATCAGATCAGACCTGCTTCTTTGGTTGACTGTCAATGTCATGCATGCTTTGTGGGAACGTACTAGTGCTGCTCGTCGACTTTGGGAGTTGGCTATGCTCGCTCATTGAGGCACCTAACGCGACGAAAACTTCCGAATGGCCTTTTCTTTCGGTTCTACACATATCACTAAGATGCCGACGGTACATCAAATTCATTCTCATCACCCCTTGAGTTGTTAAAAACAAGAAAATAGTAAATTCTTACACTCAATCCTTATTCAGCTGCACTCGTGCCCGTAAAAGTTGATTTTCCGGCATGGAGTTTTGAGTCTGAAAAAGCTTGTGTAAACATCTATTGTGGTGCCTGTAAAAACTGAATTTCCGGCATGGTAATGAAGCGTGGTGCCTGTAAAAACTGAATTTCCGGCATGGTAATGAGGCGCTTGTACGAGGGTATGCATTTTTTACGACAGTGATTCGTGGTACATGTACAAGTTTATGCACGTTCTATGTCGTTTTTTTCTCGGTGCACTTTGTTTTCTCCCAAACACAGAAGAACATGGATGAAAATTATCACTGATGTCACACAACTTTTATCATAGATTCATAGGCTGCGCCCTATTTTGGACATAGAGAAACTGAAATCTTATTGTCCAAACACTGACTTGCAGGTTATGTCTAACATCCAACTAACGACGGAGGAAAGACAAATGAAGAACGCGACAGCAACGCAATTTGACATAAAAAAAAAACACTAGAACTATATTCATGATCTGATCATCTTTGGAAATAAAGCATACCTGAGAAACGTAATACTCTTCATTTCCGACACATAATTTAAATACATTTCACTGCTAATACTCCTGCATTTAACTTACTTGAGATTCTGAACCAACTTGTTAAATCTACATATCTGCACATCGTTCCTCGATTAAATTACACTGCATGAAGAACACAACTGCAACAACGCAAAATGAAAACGTGTTAAAGGAAAAAATAGGCATAAAGTGTCGAATGATTGCTCTGGAAATCAGCGAATAAAAATATTGCTTGAATCGAAATAGAAACTAGTCAAATGTAAAAGCATACCTGTATTTGGAATAGGCCAGCAAGCCAAGCATGTAAAACAACTTGTGCTCTGCCAGCCACTCAATCATCTCTGCACTTGATCTGATCCTGCAGCTCCAACTTGATTAGCCGGCGCACTGCTTGCTGACCCATTTTCAACTGGTGGGGCCACACCCCATTTGCCTTCCGATTCAAGGGGCTCAAAGACATGAACAGCACCATCCGATAGTCCTAATGCGAACTGATTTGCTTCTTGCGGATGCGCCGCAATCACGAGGGGCTGCACGTTAGAACTGCAGCACAGGGGAAGCAAAAGCGTTGGAATTTTCAACAGCTATCACAAACCCAGTTAGTTTTACCTAACTAGTAACTTTATTGGGAGTTGTTATTTGCACGCCAAAACAGTAATCATGCACTCCTCAATGCTAATCTCCCTTCATTCTTTTACAAAGGAGCGCAGGATTGCTTATTCAGAGTGGCAATAAAAAGTAATCAAAGAGGCACTGCAATTACGACTAGTTATCTGCAGTTTACTATAATTTAGTCAGAGTGGCAATAAAAGTTCTAGCTATACCACTAGATTACGTTATAGCATAAAATCAGACAGGTGCATCATTATTCTTATCACATGGATCAGGAATTATAGTGCATTAAGAATCATGTTAAATTGTTTATAGTTTATGACCATCTCTCAAATTATAGTGCATAAAACATGTATGCACTGAAGGTTCAGCTGACTAAGATTATAAGGTTTTAGATCATACTGCCATGGACAGCAATGAAAAAGAACCTATATCCATCCTATGTAAGTATCTAAACTTGCTTGGTCCCTCATGATTTTCTAAGGTTGGGCACATAACCCAGAATTCAAAGTGTAATCTTAAACCCTAACACGAAGATCGTGTTTAAACTGTTACTCAAAATAAAAATCAAACATATTCCGGACTTGAAAGTGATAATACAATCCAAATTAAAACTTGAAATGCACCATTGAAATGAAGAAGGAATTACCTGACATTAGCAGGAAGATAAGCAGAAGGATTAATACGACACCGTAGTCTGAGATTTGCAGCACTAAACACACAAACGGTTGCATCTAAAAAGCTGGCATATACAAGCTGGCTATCGCATGAGAATGTTGCATGAGAAATTGGTGCAGCAGAATCACGTGGGACCCACTAAAACCAGGGAAAAAAAATTAATTTAAACAAACAATTATTGGGGAGGTGATAAATCTTCACAACAATGCTCCTATAGACAAATCTACCTGCTTGACACATTCTAGTTTTGTTGTTTCATATATGGCAAGTTGAGTCTCGTGAACAACCAAGAACTGTTGCTGGTCGTGATGAAACTGTACACGCGTGTCTGATAGTGAAGCTGTCGTTCTTCCAGCTGGAAGCTGCAAGAATCTGGACTTCAGCTTTTCCCATCCATCAGAGCTCCATACGCAAAGCTGAAGAAAGGAGGGGGAAGAAAAAGAATACCCCAACGAACATTAGTGATTTCAGTATCTTTTTCACAAGGACTATTACATTTACAGAAATGCTTGTGTTGCGCGTTTCCAAATTTAACAATTGAATTAATTCTTCAAAGAGAAAAATAATTCCGAATTTGACAATTGAATTAATTCTTTAAAGAGAAAACTTGGGAGTCGCTGGAAAAAGTTTGAAAAGGTAAAATGAATGCATGTTGGATCAGAAACTAGAACACTGTGATATGAGTTGTAAATAAAGGCCATAAATTTGCAAGTAAAATACACAAACAGTTGTTTTTTCAATGCCTCTAGTTATTTTCTTACATCGGTTAGAGCATACTTGTCGAGGAAAGGTATTTGGGAGTCAGATTCAGTTTCAGTGTACCAGGGAAGACAACTAAATAAGGAATATTAGTTCATGACACCAAAGTTGAAAAGTTCTAATACCTGTGCATCTGCTCCTGATGAAACTAGCACATTCAGTACATGAGAAAATGCCAGGCCAGTTATCCTTTTAGAGTGGCCTTTAAGCTTGCTCTTAACCTGCATCAAGAAAATTACAACAAATTAAGAATCATCTCAAACAGTAAGTTCTAAGACAAATTGCATACGTATGTCATCATACCTCATCTACGCGGACATTATATATCTGAATTGTAGAATCATCCATTCCAATAGCTATAATATTGTTATCTTGAGGATGGAAAGCAAGAAATGTTGCGGCAGGCGGTGGTGGCATGAAAGTTGTCATTGTCTGCACTCGCCAACAAGTTGTGATTATAGCCAGATGAAAAATGGAACGAGGGAAAAAAAGGGCTATCTATTTTTAAGACGTGTTACCTTAAATGTCATCATA